ACACCCACAGAACCAGTAGTAAAAATATTTGAATCCCACCACTGCACGGGGCCACCCTGGGAAATGTAAGGGGGTCACCCTGCGTCGCTTTGGCTCAGTCTACTCAGTGCAAAGAGGAAATATGCTGTCATGCCCCAGTTGGAATCTGATTCTGAGGGGGAGGTCGAGCAGCTGACAGGGAGTGGGAGTGTGGCTCCGGAGATGGTGGAGGAAACTGGGGAAGGGCACAGTCCGGCTGGGCATTCAGAGGAAGACCCAGGGCCACCTGAAACGTGAGTTACGTGCGTGACGGGGGAGGAAAAGGCCCTGATTTCCTTCATTAGCTGCAGCTGGGAAAACAGGATTTAAAAAGAGCGTTTGCGCACAGCACCTTTCTGGAAGCAAAGCGTGAATTATCTTTGTTTGTCACATCTTATCTGGGTTCCAGCATCCCCCCAAAGGTGTGTGTTTCATTTTGTTTTGAAGTCTGCAATTCCTTGTCCTGCCCTGTCTCATTAATTGCTGCAGCGTGGTTTGTGTTGGTTTTTATTTATAATTTAGATGTACTTTGGGTTTGGATGGAATTTCTTCCCTTTAAAAATTGTTCTTAGGAGGGCTTTTTCTCCAGCCGATGATAACTGGACATTGGGGGACAAGTTGGAGGAATTAAAGGGACTTTATCTACTTCTGTGACTTTGTTGCTTCTGTGCCACACCCCTTTGGGTCATCACACATGCCAGCAGCTTGGGGAGTGGCGTCAAGCTGGCCATGCCCGCCCAGTCGAGGTCCCACCCCCTGAGGTCAACCACAGCCGTGATGAAATTGAGTTTGACACCCTGATGAAATTGAGTTTGACACCCCTGCTCTAAGATACCCATCTCGAGCAGCTGATGGGCTCCCGACGGAGCAGAGCCCTTAAGCTGTCTTTGGGGCCCCGTCCTATGGATAGGCAGTAATGCCCAGATTGTGTCAATCAGACTTTTATTTCAGTCCAAGATCAGAAGGCGCTGCCTTGTAGACAAATCTGCTCCATCAGGGTTTCCCAACCTTGGCATCTTTTTAAGATGTGGCATTTGGATGCTGGATGGGCAATCATGGCAGTTCAAGTCCACATGTCTTAAAAGTTGCCAAGATTGGGAAACCGGAGGCTGTGCCTGGATTTGTCCATGGCTGGTCTATTCAGTAACCCCAGTGAGCACATCATGGCCGAGAGGGGTGACGGAATGGCCCTAAGTGGCCCTTTGGCATCCTCTCTATAAGCTGCGGTGGCACAGTGGTTAGAGTGCAGTACTGCAGGCTACTTCTGCTGACTACCGGCTGCCTGCCAAGTTTGAAGATTGTTGGTTTAGGTGCTATTGCTGTTGTTATTCCTCTTCCTTTTCCCTTCCTTCCTTCCTTCCTTCCTTCCTTCCTTCCTTCCTTCCTTCCTTCCTTCCTTCCTTCCTTCCTTCCTTCCTTCCTTCCTTCCTTCCTCTCTCCCTCCCTTCCTTCCATGATGCACAGTGCTTAGAATACAGTATTGCAGGCAAACTCTGCCCACTGCCAACAGTTCGATCTTGACTCAGCCTTCCCTCTTTCTGAGATGGTGAAATGAGGGCCCAGATTGTGAGGGGCAAGAGGCTGACTCTGTAAACCTCTTAGAGAGGGCTATAAAAGACTGTGAAGCGGTGTATAAGTCTAAGGGCTATTGAAAGTGGTATTGCTCTTCTCCCAGCAACTTAACCAGCTGAAGAAAGCCGCCTCCTTCTCCCAGGCATTTCTCCTCATTTCCTCCAGTTTGAGGTCAAGCAATGGTTCTGCCTTGCATTGGCAATCCTTGGAGAGACGGTCTTCTTCCCAAGTCATAGCATGTCACAGTTGCAACCAAACACCTGCTCTTTCCTTTTCCAAAACAAAATGTAAATGTTTTAATGACATTTAAACCACCCAGAGAACATTGGCTGTGGCAGGTTAGAAATGCACTGGTGCTAATAAAAATGAGGAGGTTAAGGGGTAGCTTTTCTGGATGACTTTTGGTGATTAAACACTACAGCACAACCTGTATCTTTATTGGCTGTGATTGTTTCTCATTGGACTGGTTTTTAAATTATTGTGTTCCTTGTCCAAAAGGTGCTTTTCTAAAGGCAAATGGACTTTGTTTTTTTTTCCCTTCAAGACATTTTGCTTCTCATCCAAGAAGCATCTTCAGTCCTGACTTCTTCAGAACCGAAAAAGCTCCTTGAATGAGAAGCGAAAAAAAACAAAGAGAGTCCAGGTGCCTTTTGAAAAGCATCCTTTGTATAACCATGACCTGGATGACTGACAATTTCCATAGGTAGATATTGTTCCTTGTGTTGTGGCTTGGTTTTATGCAGCATATGAGCCTCGGTGGTGCAATGGTTAGAGTGCAGTACTGCAGACTACTTCTGCTGACTGCCGGCTGCCTGAAATTTGGCAGTTCAAATCCCACCAGGCTCAAGGTTGACTCAGCCTTCCCTCCTTCCGAAGTGGGTGAGGACCCAGATTGTTGGGGGCAAGAGGCTGACTCTGTAAATCACTTAGAGAGGGCTGGAAAGCGGCATATAAGTCTAAGTGCTATTGCTATTGCTTTGCTCTTCCTTTTCCTTCCCTCCCTCCCTCCCTCCCTCCCTCCCTTCCTTCCTTCCTCCTTTCCTTCCTTCCCCCCTAATGGTTAGAAGGCAGTATTGCAGGCTAACTCTGCCCATTGCCAGCAGTTCAATCCTGACTGGCTCAAGGTTGACTCAGCCTTCCATCCTTCCAAGGTCAATAAAATGAGGACCCAGATTGTTGGGGGCAAGAGGCTGACTCTGTAAACCGCTTAGAGAGGGCTGGAAAAGCATACGTCTAAGTGCTAAGTGCTACATGGACTTCCCATCCCAGTATTGTTCAACTTACAGAAGCTCCATGGGGTTACTGAACGCAGCACAGATTCCAGCCCTTTCCTTAAACAACAGGTGGAGGAAGAAGGTTCATCCAGCTGCCCATTGGCCCAGGGGCTGCAGTGCTCATTGCCAGCTAGGAAGCCGGTTGCTGGAAGCCCAACATGTCCCACTAAGCATCGAGTGCGCTTCAATATAAAAGAAATTAAAATGAGTTTGGTTCAAGAGTTCCGACTCCGCTGGAAGCTACAAGTTCACCAGCTGCAGCAGTGAACATTTGTAATTTAATCAATCAATCCATCAATCAATCAGAATAGAGCTGGAAGGGACCTTGGAGGTCTTCTAGTCAATCTCCCTGCTTCGGCAGGAAACCCTCTACCAGCGATGGTGAACCTTTTCGCCACCCAGTGCCCAAACTAGAACACACGTGCATGTGTGTGCCGGAGCACCGGAAAACTGCAGACCACATGCCTGCCTGTTTTGGGGCTGTTTCTGGGGCTGGTTTCAGGCTGGTTTTCAGGCCGTTTTCAGGCTGGTTTTCCGGGCCATTTTCCAACGCTCCGGCACCCATGAAGACCAGCTGGCTGGAGCACATGTGTGCACCAGAAACCAGAAGAGCAGCTGGCAGTGGTGAGCGTGCCCACTGAGAGGGCTCTGCATGCCACCTCTGGCACTCATGGCATAGGTTCACCATCACAGCCCTCTCCCATTTCAGACAAATGGTGATCCAGTCTTAAAAACTTCCAGTGTTGGAGAATTCACAACTTCTGGAGGGAATTTGTTCCACTGGTTAATTGTCCTCACTGTCAGGAAATTCCTCCTTAATTCTAGGTTGCTTCTCTCCTTAGCTAGTTTCCATCCGTTGCTCCTTATCTTGCCTTCAGGTGCTTTGAGAATAATTTGACCCCCTCTTCTTCTTTGTGGCAGCCCCTCAAAATACTGGGAGACTGCTACCATGTCCCCCCTTGTCCTTCTTTTCTCTAGACTAGCCAAACCCAAATCCTGCAATTGTTCTTCATGTTTTAGTCTCCAGGCCTTTGATCATCTTAGTTGCTCTTCTCTGCACTTTTTCCAAAATCTCAGCATTCTCTTTTTGTAATATGGTGACCAAAACTGGATGCAACATTCCAGGTGTGGCCTTACTAAGGCTTTATCCAAGCTGGAAACATTTTTGGGGTGGGAAGAACTTCAGTTGCTCTTTGAAATTTCCCATAATCCCCTGGCACAATGTTCCTTTGGAGAATTACAGGAAATTGATGGGCCAGCAACCCAGCCAGCCACAAGCCATCGTCTGCTTTCCCCAGCGGGGAGTCTTCCAGATGCCTTGTCCTGATAAGCATGTCTTTTTTGGGGTGGCAATTCTGGGGATGGCTCTGGAGGGCAGCAGAAGGCTGATCTGGAGAACTGGAGGGAAGATACCTAGTGCTGACCCCAAGCCAGAAGGTTCTCCTAGGGTGCCAAGTCCCCCATCTAAGAGCCACTGTGGCACAGTGGTTAGAGTGCAGTACTGCACGCTACTTCTGCTGCCTGCCTGTAATTTGGCAGTTTGAATCTCACCAGGCTCAAGGTTGAGTCCACCTTCCATCCTTCCGAGGTGGGTAAAAACCCACATTGTTGGGGGGCAAGAGGCTGACTCTGTAAACCACTTAGGGCTGTTAAAACGATGTGAAGCGGTGTATAAGTATTGCTATTGCTATTGCCCTTCCTTCCTTCCTTCCTCCCTCCCTCCCTCCCTCTGCCCACTGCCAGCAGTTCGATTCTAAGTGGCTCAAGGTGGACTCACCTTCTATCCTTCCGAGGTGGGTAAAATGAGGACCCAGATGGTTGGGGGCAAGAGGCTGACTCTGTAAACTGCTTACAGATGGCTGGAAAGCATTGGGAAGCGGTATTATCAGTCTAAGTGCTATTGCTACCTTGTGGGCTGGAACAGGGTGGCCCCTAGTTAATTCTTGCATGGGAGACCCCCAGGAAACCCACCTGAGAAATCCAAGAAGGGGAGACTGACTTCCTTCTGGGCAGTTTGTCCCTGACGGAGTCAGCAGCTGAATTCACCCTGAGCCCCTCTGCCTTAAGGAGGGAAAGCTGGACATGGGAGGGACAAATGGTTCACCGGGAAAAGGAGTCCAAAGACAGAGCTAGAAATACCATCCTTTTATTTGAGGAAGGAAACACCAGGTGGAGCCATGCTGGCCTTTAAAGCCTCTTCCCTGCTGCCCCCACCTGGCTCCAAAGAGGAGGAGGAGGAGGAGGAGGAGGAAGAAGATGGAGGCTGCTGCATGGGATATTCCAGGAGGCTGGTCGGAGGCAGTGGAGGTGCCTGGGGAACTGAGCCCACGGCCTGGCTGCTGGGAAGGGCCCAAACCAGGTCTGTTCTGATCACAGCCTGCAGGTCAGCTGGCAGCAGCCCCTTCCCTCTTCCTGCAGAGTCTGCCCTCGCTTCCCAGGAATTGTGGGCCCCCAGAGTCAAGGCAGCTACCCCTCCTCCAAGAAAAGGCCCAGTCCTGCTGACCCCCAACAGCCCAGCCTCAGCCCCCTCCCTGCCCGGAACCCACCCCAAGGCACCCTTCCCCAGGCCCGCGAGGGTCTCCCCGGAGGTCGAGGGAGAGAAGCGGATCTATGCAGTTACAACGGCGGTTTAAAGAAAGCCCCCCCCCCCCCCGCCAGAGCCCAGCGCCAGCGCTGGGTCCCCCAAAGCCTCGCGACCCATCCCAGGGGGCGGCCATCCAAAGAGAGGCCCTGGATCTCTGTGGGGCGGGGTCTCCGCTGGCCCCGGGACAGGTCCGGCTTCCCCCTCCCCTATTGCACAGTCTGCGGCGGGGCGGCGGCTCCCTTGGGCGGCTCGGCGGCCCCCTCCCGGCCCTTCTTGCGCGGCGGCTTCTTGATGGGCGTTTTCTTGGGCGCGGGGGTCGGCTCGGGGCTGCCGCCAGCTGCGGTCTGCTTCTCCCCGCTCTTGGGCTCGGCGGCGGCGGCGTCGGGCCCCAGCAGTTTCTGCAGCGGGGCGGAGGTGGGCAGCAGGGGCTTGCCGGCCTTCTGCCCGGCGGGGGCGGCGCCCGCCTGCTTGGCCTTCTGCGGGGGCGCCGGCTTCTCCCGCTGGGCCGGGAGGGGGCTCATGCCGTTGGGCCGCGCCCCCGCCTCGCCCCGCTGGAGGCTCTGGGTCTTTTCCTTCAGCTGCGCGGCCAGCAGCGTGGCGGCTTCGGAGGAGAAGCCGGGCGGCGCTTTGGGCTGCGCGGGGCTCCGGGGCGCCTCGGCCGGCCGCCTCTCCGCCGCCGGGGCCCCCATCCTCTTGAGCGCGGAGTGCAGGGCGCCGTTGAGGTTCTCCGCGGGCTCCGGCCCGGTCCGGCTGCGCTGCCTGACCTGAGCGGGGCCGGGTGGGCCCTCCGGGCTGCCGGGCTCCTGGGGGGGCTTGGGGGCCCTGTCCTTGGCCCTCGCGGCCTCGCCGGGGCTCCTCTTGCGCTTGGAGGGGCCGGGCCGGCGCTCCGCTTGCAGCTCGGCCGCGGCCGGCAGGGAGTTGCTCTGGGCCGCGTTGTACTTGTGGTGGATCCAGGAGACTTTGGGCTTGGTGGAGGGGTCCGGCGGGGGCGGCTTGGCCCGCTCCGGGGACGGGGGCTTGGCCGCCGGGGCGTCCTCCTCCTCCCGGGACTGCTTGGAGAGGCGCGCGATGCGGGCGTAGAGCGCGCCGCTGACCGAGCCGGAGCCGCAGGAAGAGCGCTCGCTGTCCGAGGACTTGAGCAGGGGCGCCTCGCCGCCGTCCGCCGGGCCCGGGGGGCTCTCCTTCAGGACGGTGTACTCGCCCGCCTCCTCCTCCGCCGCGGCCGCCACCGCCGGGCCCTTGCGCAGCGGCTGCGCGGCCTTCTCCAGGGTGCTGCTCGGGGCCGAGACGCGCTCCTTGGGATCGCTCTCTGCGGAGGGAAGGGAAGGAGAGCCGTCAGGGGAGCAGGGGGGCTGAGATCAAGTCAGCTGCAAAGAAGCAGGGGGGGGGGGAACTCTCTTTTCTAGAACATCCACATTTCTATAGGCAACGAAATCTCTCTCTCTCTCTCTCACACACACACACTCACATACACACCCCACTTTGAGGGCAGGGTAAGCCTTCATCCACCCATCCTCAAAATTGCTCCCCTCCAAGCCTTTGTCTGTTTTTTAACAAAGAACTAAAAAAGACGTTGAGACTCTCTAACCCTAACCCTCCATAGCTGAGTCATGCCCAGCTTATCAATGGAGACAGCTGAGTCCTTTTGGTCACCACACTATGAAAAAGAGGTTGAGACTCTAGAAAAAGTGCAGAGAAGAGCAACCAGGATGATGAGGGGACTGGAGGCTAAAACATGCAATCAACGGATGCAGGAACTGGGCCTGGCTCGTCTAGGGAAGAGAAGGACCAGCGGAGACAGGAGAGCATCTTCCAATATTTGAGGGGCTGCCACAGAGAGGAGGAAGGGGTCAAGCTGTTTTCCAAAACACCAAAGGCCAGAAAAGGAATAATGGATAGAAATCGATCAAGAAGAGATTCAACCTGGAAATAAGGAGATATTTTCTGACAGAACAATCATCCCATGGAACAGAAGTTGCCTTCAGAAGTTGTGGAGTTTCATCACTGGAGGCTTTCCAGAAGAGACTGGGCTGCCATCTGTCAGAAATATTGTAAGGTCTGCTTGGGCGGGGGGGTTGGACTAGATGACCTACAAGGTCCCTTCCAACTCTGTTAATCTGTTAATCTTTTCAGGAGGCATCGCAAAAGACCTATTGTCAGAATGCTGCAGCAGCAGAGAAAAGCCTTAGAAAATACATTGCTAGCTTTCCTAAGAATTTCAGCTCCCTTCGAGGATAACCTCTTGAGAAACGAAATCTGGAAATTCTCCAGCAATCCTTGGAGATTGCTCGCCACTGGGCTTCCTCCTTCTAGCCCTGGGAGAATTGTTCACGCCAAGCAAGTGTGACAGAGCAACCTGCACAAAAGGAGGGATTTGTGTCCAACATGCTTTAAGCCTTGAGTGTACAGAATACAGTCTGTGCTCAGGATGGGATTTTATTTCATTTTACAACAAGGAAAGAGATGTTACTTAATGACCGATGTTCAAATGATTGGCATGTAGCTTAGGGTGAAGCTGTGGCCCAGGCAGAATTTAAAAATGTATGAGCAGGGCTGCTTCCTTCCTTTTAGCAAGGTGAAGTCCTTGGAAGCTGGGTATCTCAGCAGGATGCAGGTAGAAGCAAGAATATGGGCCCACCTGGGCAGCCAAAGGCCTGTCCCCCCCCCCATCCTATATGTGCTGGGAGGACTACACTCTGATTTTTCTGACTTTCCCCAGATGCAGCTGCACTGTCTCCAAATTTAGGGTTAGGGTGCAAAAAGCTGCAGACCACTTGGTTTCACCCTGGATTGTTGTGGAGGAACATGGGCCAGTCCTGGAGGCTGGGGAAGGCTCTGACAAGGGCTCTGCCTCAGAGGCAGCGATGGGGCCAGGGCCGTCTGTCAGTTATCAGCTGCCTTCGAAGTTAGAGATCAGTGGGGCAGAAGAACAGCTGGAGCCTGTTTCCAATGTGCGCATGCACAGAGCTGCCAGGAGAAGGGAACAGCTAAGGAACAAGGGTCAACTTGGGAGTAAAGGCTCAGGTGGACAGTGAATGGACCCTCCCAAAGGGAATAAAGAGGAGCGAAAGAGGACTGAGGTTTTGCAGGAGACAACTAGTTCAATTCATTAGGGTGAACATCTGTTTCTGACTTCTTTCCAAGTAATTGCTGTTACAGCATGGCATTTGGGAGATATCAGCCTGGCAACTCTCCAAGCCTGATCAAGGTCTGTAGTTGTGAAATCTCTTGCAAGACTGTTTGCTGGGACTTTGCTGGAGAGGAATTCCCTTTAATCTAAATAAAAGGGGTTTTATCGGGACGAGGAGTCGGCTTCATGGTCTTGGGAAGCCTCAGTCAGAACATGGATATCACAAAGACTCACACACAACCTCATCCTTTCCTACCACTCAGGGATGCTCTTCAAGCCAATAGGTCCTGCGTCAAGGAAGCAGAAAGAAACTCCTTTTATTTGTATAGTGTGATGGTGAAAGGTTTTAGGACTTTGTTTTTTAAAAAAAGTTGGAATTGGTATGCAAAATTTGAGACAAAATTAAACAGTCTCAACTGAGTTCATGATGCTGAGCAGACTTTTAGTGGGTTTCTTTAAAAAATAAAGATTAGCAACCCCCCCCCCCCCCAATATTGAGTCTGAGTCAGCTACACATTTCCCTAAAGAGCACTCCTGGCTGTTACAGCTGAAGGCATAATCCTTCTCCCAACTCCCGTGCCAAATTGGAGGCCGCTCGATTATGATTTTTTGGAAGGGAGTTTTTGTTGTTGTTGAGAAATATGTGTGGCTTTTTGTACCAAAAGCATTTGGGGAGGTTTGGAGTTTCTTCGCTCACGGATATCATGCATATTTGCCCAATAAACTCTGTTATTACATTAACTCGTTACTTGGAAGGACACAATAGGCCTTTGTTTTTTAAAAAAGCTAACCGAACGCTCCAGTCACATGACACTGTAAGCCAGAAGACCAACAAGGCAACTACAAACTAACCAGGGTTAGCATAGGAAATGGTGTATTGTTGGGGACAGTCCATTTCGAGAGGAACCCAGCAGCTCTTAAAGCCGAGGGAGCGGCTGGCTGTCATGCCAGGATCCGAAAGTGAGTTTGAAGGGTGCGTGTATTTGTGTTTGTGTGTCTTTTGTAAGCTGGCTGGAAACCAGGGAAGGGAAGACACCCGTGAGGCAAGGAGTTGCGACAGCGAGCTGGGGCAGGGGTGAGATTCAACCGGTGTAACAACCGGATCGGTCAGCACGCGGTTTGCATGTGCGCAGAGCGTTTGCTACTGACCTTCTCCAGCAATCCCTGTGTGTTAAACAGCTGACGTGCGGTAGGTGAGCCCAACAGCTGATTGTCAGAGCAAACTGAACTGGTTCACTCCCAGCTGATCCTCGGAACTACCGGTTCACTCGAACCAGGCTGAACTGCTAGAATCTCATCCCTGAGCTGGGGTCAACTAGAGCAAGGGTCTCCAACTTTAAGAGTTGTGGACGTCAACTCTCAGAGTTGCTGGCTGAAGAACTCTGGGAGTTGACGTCCACAAGTCTTAAAGTTGCCAAGTTGGAGACCCCCTGAACTAGAGAGTGAGGGAAGCAGAGTTGGAGAGGGAAAATTTCTTCCCACAGAGCGGGGACTCTTTTCCTGGTCACACGTAGCCCTCCGACATGTGCCAAAGCAGTCCTAGGGGTTTCGTCTTGTGCGAAGCGAGCCTCCATGACTGCAGGAGTTAATTTCCACTGGTAGGAACATCTTCTGTCTGTTAATTATGGTGTTTCTCTCAAAGTCAGGCATGTGTGGCCCAAGAATTCTTTAAGCATTACAGGCCCCTTTGTGAAAAGCCTGTTATTTGCTACAAAAGGGTTGCGGTGGAGCTGGGATTGAGTCAAATTCCTCGGTTCCATAGTGGTTGCCAAAATAACAGGACAGGAGAGGAGAAATTAGGAGCTCAGATCCTATGAGAAGCTCTGACTGAGGGCCGGCCATCCAAAGGCAGAATTGTTGTGGCCTGCCAGTGGCCAGCAGAGCTGGCGGCAGACTCGGATAGTGAGGAGGTTGGGGAGGAACATGGGCCAGTCCTGGAGTCTGGGGAAGGCTCCTCTGTGTCGGAGGCAGAGATGGGGCCAGGGCCGTCTGACAGTTATCAGCTGACTTCGGAGTCAGAGATCAGAAGAACAGCTGGAGCCTGTTCCCAATGTGCGCATGTGCAGAGCTGCCAGAAGAAGGGAACAGTTAAGGAACAAGGGCCGATTTGGGAGTAAGGGCTTTGGTGGATGGTGAATGGTCCCTCCCACAGGGAATAAAGAGGAGCGAAAGGGGAGTGGGGTTTCCAGGAGACAATCAGTTCGTTTAATTAGGGTGAAGTTTTGTTTGAGACTCCTTGCCAAGTATTTCCTGGTACAGCATTGCGCTTGGAAGCTATCGGCCTGGCAGCTCTCCAAGCCTGATAAGGTCTGTGGTTGTAAAGTCACCCTTGAAAAACTGTTTGCTGGGACTTTGCCGGATGTGAATGACAGGAATTCATATTAGCCTATTAAAAAGGGGTTTTGTCGGGCCGAGGAATCTGCTTCGGGATTTCGTGAAGTCAGAACAAGAATGGGGACTCCGGCCCGCTTTGCTGTCACCACAGGTTCACCCCTTTTAATTCCAGAGAATTCCAGCATGCTTATCAGTATCCTAGTCCTCAGTTTTGCAAAGGAAAAACCTCCTGGAGAGGCTTTAGCCGCCAAAGTGAGAGGCAACGATGACACCCACATCATCATCAGGGATATGAGAAAGTTCACACTTACGTTGCAGAACCCCCCCCCCCCCCCCCACGGTCATGGCATCAACACTCAGACTCATGACTTTGGCGGTGTCCTGGGATCACATGTGATCCCCTTTTATGACCTTTGGACAGGCAAAGTCCATGGGGAATCTGGATTCACATAACAACGGTGTGACTAATTTGACAATGGCAGTGATTCACTTACCAACAGTGGCAAGAAAAGTTGTAAAATGGGGCAAAACTCACTTCACAAATGTCGCTTTAGCAACAGAAACTTGGGGTCGTAAGTCAAGGACCAGCTGGACAAAAATGACAGGCTGATGCTTTGTTGTTCCTTTTATCCCCAATTTCTCAAGAGTGATACATTATTCAAGAAATAGGTTTTGGCGGAAGTCTCAGTCCAGCCCTTGGCAATTCTGAGGTTCGAGGGACGTTTTGCCACATCAAAATCTTGAATTCAAGATGCTTAGCCCACCCCACCTGTTCTCCAAAGCTGGGCTTCCCAAACTTGGCAACCTTAAGACTTGTGGACTTCAACCCCCAGAATTTCTCAGCCAGCCATGCTGACTGGGGAATTCTGGGAGTTGAAGTCCACAAGCCTCGAAGTTGCCAAGATTGGAGAGCCCTACTCTAAAGGGCTAATTCTCTTGTGAGCTGGGAATGTTAGCATACTCAAACCCAGTTTCCCTTGCAGGGAAACCACAGATATTTCCCTCTCCCAATATGAGCAATGCGCAGCCGATCTGATTGGCAGGATCCTTGCCGAAATTGACAGCGGTCTTCTCCAATGCCTGGTGGATGAGACTAGAGGCCTTCAGGAGGAGCCAAGTCATGGGAGTTGCTTTGCACCTGGGCCTTCCTTCTTTTTTCCCTTTGGTTTACAGATTTACAGATTAACAGCATTGGAAGGGACCTTGTAGGTCATCCAGTCCAACCCCCCACCCAAGCAGGAGACCCTACACCGTTTCTGACAGAGAGCAGTCCAGTCTCTTCTTGAAAGCCTCCAGTGATGAAGCTCCCACAACTTCTGTTACTTGGGTTGATTGCTCTCATGGTCAGAAAATTTCTCCTTATTCCCAGGTTGAATCTCTCCTTGTTCAGTTTCCATCCATTATTCCTTGTCTGGCCTTCGGGTGCTTTGGAAAATAGCTTGACCCCTTCCTCCTCTCAGTGGCAGCCCCTCAAATATTAGAAGATTGCTATCACGTCTCCCCTGGTCCTTCTCTTCCCTAGACTATCCATGACCAGTTCCTGAAACTGCTCATCGTATGTTTTAACCTCCAATCCCCTAATCACCTGATTGTTCTTCTCTGCACTCTTTCTAGAATCTCAACATCTTTTTTATTGTGTGGTGACCAAAATTGGATGCAGGATTCCAGGTGTGGCCTTACTAAGGCTTTATAGAGTGGTATTAGTACCTCCCCTGATCTTGATTGTATCCCTGAGTTATTCTGAGTTTGATATTTTTAAAGGTATTGAAAAATATGGCTTGAAGCTCAACACCTCAAAAACCAAGATGAGCAAACAACCTGTTTAATTTACCCACTGAAATAAAGACAAGAAAGCTCAAACAGCATTCTTCCAAATGAAATAGCTCTTCTGCAGTCACGATCTAAGCCTAAGATTGAAAATCAGGCTTGTCAGATGCTCCATCTTTTCTATCCTGCTCTATGGAAGGGAGAGTTGGTCTCTGACAGAAAGCCACTCGAAGAGATGAGAAGTATTTGAAATGTGGATTTACAGGAGGCTGTTACGTATAAGTTGGGTTGACAAAATCAGAAATGAGGAGGTGATAAGCTGCCTGGGAAAGCCAAGGGGAATCATCAAGACAATTAAAAAGCTAAAGTTAAGACTATTTCGGACATGTGATGCAACACCCAGAAAAATATGGCGTCCTTCACTTAATCCTCCAGGGAAAAATGGATGGCAAATGAGTTCCAGGCAGAAGAAGAACACCAGGGCGTCAAAATCTAAGGGGCTGGTTTGGACAAAACTCAGCAGCCCTTTTTCATGCAGCTGTTGATAAAAATAGGATCGCCAACACAATTGCCAATGTCCGATGATGGGTAGGGAAGAAGAAGAAGAAGAAGAAGAAGAAGAAGAAGAAGAAGAAGAAGA